TTACATCGATAAATTTATGTCACAAAGAGAAGAGATGATCAAGCGAGAAACGCTTTTACAACATAGAAACAGGCTTTAGACTACTAGACTAATGTCACTGCGAGACAGGTATATAAATGACAGAATCTAGTGATCGAAAACAGGATTTGTTATACTTCTGGTAGCAAGCACAACATCAATCAATCAATCCAGTACGTTCCCAGGGGAACAATGGGCACAACATCAATGGTCTAAACTAATTCCTGTTTCTTAATTCTTCACTTTTGACAGAGCTTGGTTACTTAATATCCATATTTTCATATACATATATATATATATATATATACTTTCATTGTAGAAAAGTAATCAGGAGGTTTCCCCTTGTCTGCCTGATTCCAATGCCGTTGACCACATACAGCAGCTCATCCGTCTCCAGGGGCAATTTCTCACCCCTAGAACAATGAATTGCCCTACCCGCAGATCTATTTGGACCACTTATTGCGACGATCGTTCGATCCCCTTTCCACGCTAGCCATTAACCAAACGTTACTCCACCTCTACCGCGTGGAGGTGTTGATCGGAATTTTGCTTTCATTGTTACTAAGACTTAAGAGGCATTGCTAAGATTAGATGTATATAATGGATTTTTCTAATTATTTGTAGAAGACAAGCGACAAGTTTGTCACAAAAGATGACTAAGCGCAGCACACTTCCACATTAATTATCATAACAGACAAATAAAACCATATTATAGTCACTGTAAAAAATCTACCAAATGACATAACCCAGTCAGGTAATATGGATTACAACCAAATGGAAAATTTATCGCGTTTATTAAATTATTCGCAGAAGGTCCCGTGGTTACAAATAGTATCTGTTCCTCGTGTTAAAACTATAGAAACAAGCTTGGAAACTATAATTGTAATAATGTAATAAAATTAAAACTAAAAACTCAGAAAGATATCTTGTTTATAACCAACAGTATGCAGAGATTTCTTGGAATTTTCCTGTTTTTTCAGTTTGTTACCTCATCTTAAAACTGTGTAGTTATTCAAAACATCTCAATCGTTGCTTACTAAAATCAAATTGATATTGATCTTGATAAACACTTATCTTATTTTGTGATAAATTGTAGTTATTTACAGCCATAGTTTTGAAGTAGACTGAGCTTCAATGCTTGCAGTCATCTTAATATCTAATAAGTTGTTTTAGGTTAAGTTGGAGTGACAGCCTTACGCACCAAAGCAAACCTGAAGACAAATAATGGCTTGTTATAATATCACCAAATAAAAAATTAAAGTACATCGACCTGATAAGTGTATAAACTTCCTTAAGTCCATAATTTCGCTGGATGACGACAGATAGATGAGTACAGCCAGGTTTATTTAGCTATACTCACATATTTTTTCTCAACTGCCAATTTGACCGTTGCAAATTAAATACCAATATGAATTGGATACCGAGATACGAATGTCAAAAAGCAGTGCGTCTTGACAAGCTCATCTGACATACAGTTACCCGAAATGTCCCTATGTCCCAAATGAGTTGAACACTGACATGAATAACTACCTTGTTAAGAGAAGCCCTGCTTTCTAGAACTATTAAAGAGAAACTATTAAATGCCAAATTTTTGATTTATATGAAAACAAAAACAATTTTACACTTGACGTGCGCATAACTGTCTGCATAACATCGCCTTTATATTGGCAATGTGTTATCATATTGTATCTATAGTAAATGGCATAGTTATAGTTTTGTTATAAAAACTTACAAATTGTATAATCGATTTTGAGATGTTCATTATTAACCTTCGCATCCTTAAAGTTTGTTTCGTTGCAGAAAAAGGGAACCTTGTAAATATTATTTATTTACAGAAACCTTGTAAACTTTGAAATTGTTATTGAAATGGTTTTGTTTCGAATTTTTATTTTGGAATTAATTTTAAAATCAACGAAAAATAAAAATATAAATCAGAATTTCTTTATGCAATCTAAGGACCCTCGAATTGTTTATTGCCAAAACTTAAAAGTTTTTTTCATTGTATAAGCAAAACAATAAGTTTTACTTTCAACAATTCCACCTTGTAGAGAAATTTTACCATAAAAACAAATGTTCTTTTCTATTTTAAATATAAATCATATCACAAAATTGGGTTAACAATTATGATATATTGGACTCCTTCAGTAGAGAACACACTAACATAATTTATAAGAAGTTTTTAAATAAATATGAAAAATATTATTTTGCATAACTAAAAATAAAAAATAATATATAAAACTTTTAAAATATTATGTATATATAATATAATTTAATTATTTTTTTCTTAAAAATTATAAAAATCACTCAATTAACTGAAGAATTTTTTAACATTCTTTATGTCCTGATATATACTCCCTTAGTTTCTTTTTTCCATTTCTTAAGTAATATCATTAATATTTTTTTTTTTTTGACAACGAAGACATATTCTCCAAATGGAGTATTTCTTTTGAAATCATAAA